AAAAATATTTAATAGAACAGATATTTCAGATATTTCAGATATTTCATACAGTGAGGATGGTATATAATATATATTACATTTATTACATTATTTGAATAATTTATGAATAATTAAGGAATTAGGAATAATACTTCTGGGAGAATCTTGATATGTGATTATAAATAATATGAATAATTTAGGAATAAAGAATAATTTTTCTTGGAGAAATTTACATTATGTAAAATTGTATTTCCATCCCTGTTGCAACAGTGTCTACAAGGACTGTACCCATACCTACAAGTCATTGGTGTTTGGTGATGAGCTTTTGGCTCGAGGTCTGCATTTAAAGTCACACCAGAGGTTTCTGTAGACCAGTCAAGTTCTTCCACACTGACTCAATCAATAATTTCTTTCTGAACCTTGCCTTAAACACAGAGGCATTTTCATGTTAGAATAGAAAAGGGTCCTGTCCAAACTGTTGCTATAAAATTAAAAGCGCATAATTTCCTAGAATATCATTATATGTTTAAACATTAAAATTTGTACTCATGGAAATTACTAAAGTAGTCAAATCTGTTCATTAGTAGGGGGTGTCCCAATACTTTTGGCAGTATACATACTGTATGATAGCATATATTGCATTTTATTTATTTATTTTTTCCAGAACTGAGATCCAGTCATGGCACAAAACAAAAGCGGCTACACTCGTTTTGAAAACCCTCCTCTTGTCTCCGGCGTGGATCAGCCTCCATCGTATGATGCCGGTGTTCCTCACGGAGGTCTGGACGCTGGCGTTCCCGTCGTTGTTCCCGTCGGTCCGCCGTACCCTCCACCCACTGCTTTCGGGAATCCCATGTACGGACAGGATGGCTCTGGATATCCACCGCACCCGTATCCTCCAGCAGCTCCGTATATGGCAGATCCGTACAGCAGCGGAGCGTACGAACAACCACTTCCATACGGTGAGACATTCTACCTCACATACGGCTCGCTCTTTGTTCATAAACTCTAAACTAAGTTTTGTTTTGTGACAGAAGTGGCGATGGGTGAGCCGGGACACAGCGATCCTCCTCCAGACTATGAGAACGAGCAGTTCGTCGGCTCCGGACTCGACAATAAAGCCGTCAGAAGACTGTTCATCCGGAAGGTAAACACTGATACAGAGCAAGCCTTCATTACAGGACCAGTGAAAGATTCAAAACAAGAGTCAAGTTCAGAAAGCATCATGTTCAGATTCATAGTTTTTATTTATATTTTTCATTTAATTTTAGTTAAAGTTTCAGTCATTTTGGTGTGTTTTTGTAAGTTTTTATTAGTTTACTAATTTTATTAGTTTTTATTAAAATATATCTGTATAGTTTTTTTAGCTTTTAGTTCAGTTTGTTATTTTAAAACGTCTCGTTAAACTAAATGAAAATGAGAAATGTTTGAATTCGTTTTTTTAGTTAAAGTTTAGCAATTCTGTTGACATTTTTATTTTTGTTTTTTTTATATCTTTATATTTTTTATTAACTTTTTCTTTTAGTTTTAGTCATTTTAGTACATCACATTAAGCTAAAAGAAAATGAGAAATGTTTAAATTTGTTTTTATTTTTATATTTTTCGTTTTAATTTTAGTTAAACGTTTAGTAATTTAGTCGTTTTTGTCATTTTTATTACTTTTTGTTTTTTAAATGTCTATATTTTTATTAATTTTTGTTTTAGTTATTTTAAAGTAAATGAAAATGAGAAATTTTATAGCTATCATAGTTTTCTATTATAGCTTTTATTAACATTTTGAACTAATTTCTATTTTTAGGTTTTTAATTTTCATTTTATGTAAAGTTTTAGTATTTTCTTAGGTTTTCTTAGTATTTTCTTAATTTTTATTTCAGTTTTAGTTGTTTTAGTACATCAAGTTAAACTAAATGAGAATACACACACGTTTGAATTAGTTTTTCATTTTATATTTTTTATTTTAATTTTAGGTAAAATTTTAGTAAATTTGTTGTATGTTTTTGTTATTTTCATTAGTTTTTTTTTTTTACAATTTTTATTTTAGTTTTAGTCATTTTAGTACATTAAGCTACACTGAATGAGAATACACACACGTTTGAATTTATTTTTTATTTATTTTTTTTAATTTTAATTTTAGTTAAAGTTGTAGTAACTTTATTGTATGTTTTTGTTATTTTTATTAGTGTTTTTATTAATTTTTATTTCAGTTTTAGATATTTTAGTGCATCAAGACTAAATTGGTTTGAGCCCCAGCCGTGAATTTTGATGTGTTTTGCAGGTTTTTTCGGTTTTGAGTCTTCAGCTGGCCGTCACCTGCGGCTTCGTGGCCGTCTTCACTTTCGAGCCTCACGTCAAGCTGTTCGTGATGCAGAACGTCTGGACGTACTGGGTGGGCTACGCAGTCTTCCTCGTGCCCTACCTAGTGATCCTGTGCTGCGGAGAGTTTCGCAGGAAGCATCCGTGGAACCTCATTGCTCTGGTGAATCTCTGATGAGGCTTTTTCAAATGTAAAACAGACTTAAATTCTCCTTTCATGCATAATAATAAACGGTTTCTTGCGTCTCAGAGTATCCTGACGCTGGCGATGTCCTACATGGTGGGCGTGATCTCCAGCTTCTACGACACTGATATCGTGATGATGGCCGTCGGCATCACTGTGCTGGTCTGCTTCACGGTCATCGTCTTCTCTCTGCAGGTCAGCGCTTGTCTTTCTGTTTTAATTTGGAAACCGAGAACCGTAGTTGAGACCGTAGATATAACCGTAGAGTGTAGGCCTACACTCTACGGTGTAGGCCTTTGGTTTTCTTAGCAGCATGAAAAACAAAACTTATATTCCAATTCTGAATGGATTAAACTGTATATGGCATAGAAAGCTACCTTTGTAATAATTAAAAAGCTGTCACCCATCATAACTTTCATCGCGATTTTACAAAGTTAATTATTTAATAAGTTAATTATTTAAGTTAATCAACAAATCTCTGTACACTGCGCATTGAATCTCTTATTTACATTGTGTCTACACTTTGTTATAAAGAGAGGATTCGCGAGCGTGCAGAACAAAACTATTAAGTTATAATACAGGTTGTTATTGTTTTGGTGAATGTCTGTTTCTGAGATCATAAAAAGTGTGCCCCCCTTTGAAAACGAAATGCCCCCCATTGAAATTTTTTTCATTTTAGTTTTAGTTTTAAACTTCTAATAATTGTCTTGTGTGTTTTTGTCATTTTTAATTTTTATTTAAATGTTGCCTTGTCAACTAGCTGAAAAAAAGTTTATTTATATTTTATTTCAGTTATTGTTTATTGTGTATGTATGTATGTGTGTATATATA